GCCCAGAGGGCATGTCTATACGGTTATAAATGGATTCAGCCTAGCCAGGTTAGACTACCCTGCAAAGATTCATTTAATTCAGGCTCAGGCTTTTTGAATGTCTGGCCTTAGCCTAAGCGTTCAATCAACACAACTGCAAGGTTTAATTCTACCTGTTGACAAGTCATTTTGATTAACAGGTAAAGGTTGGTTGCTGAATGTCACTGAACAAGAAACACAAATTATTTGTTGTAGATTGTGTTCTGTATGTGCTGTCAGAACAAGACTATTGAGCCTTATGCATTTTGGTAACTTGCCTTTCTGTGAAACTCAGTAAGGTTTGTTGCTGAGTGTAAAAGGTATATATGCAAGTTATAAAATGTTGAAAAGACAACCCTTTATGAAAGTTCAGCCAGTTATTTACATGGAAATTAAGTTCCAAATTGACAGGTGATGAAAGTAAGCATTTTCTGAACCACAGCCTAATATAGTTCAGTAGAGACTGATTTTAAGTATATATTGCAAAATATCTTTTGAACATTTTATAGGGAAAAAAGTGCATATTTATACAATGTTCTCATGTAATCTTCAAAAATTCTCCTGTAAACCATTTGTCCAGGATGAATAATACTTTTTTTGAAGAAATGATAAATAAATTAATCCTGTGTGTATTTTCAAATATATTTCATCTTCATGGTGAAGAACAAATGAGTTCTCTAAAAATATTGGCAATAATTCTAGAAAAGCAAGTCACAGAAGCCATCTTAACACAAAATAATGTTGCACCATACAGCATGAAAATATTACACTGATTTCAGTAAGAGCATAAAATGACTAGGTTCTGTGATGCATGTAAATATTACTGTTTATTTATAGTTTTGGAGGGAAGTAAATGGATACACATCACATCTTTAATAGAAATAGAAGAATGATTGTGCAAAAATGTTCACAAACATTTCTTCAAATTCTTATGACAATTGTCCATGTGTATATATATATTTTGTTTGCTATTCACAGATATTTATCCCAGGAAAACGTAGGGTATACTTTTGTACAAATACATAGATTCATAGATATAGGGTCAGAAGGGACCCAAGTAGATTTTCAAGTCTGACCCCCTGCCCTGGGCAGGATTGAATATTGGGCTCATATGATGCCAGCTAGGTAATTCTCAAGCCTCTTCTTAAAGACCCCCAAGGTAGAAGCCAGTACCACTTCCCTTGGAACTTGGTTCCAGTTCCTAGCCACCCTGACTGAAGTAGTGCCTTCTAATGTCCATCCTGAACCTACTCTCAAACAACTTGTGGCCGTTATTCCTTGCTACTCCGGGAGGCGTTCAGGGGAACAGGGTTTCTCCTATTCCCTGCTGGTCCCCCCAGTAAGTTTATAGATGGCCACCAGGTCCCCTCTCAGCCTTCTCTTGTGAAGGCTGAACAGGTTTAGGTCCTGTAGCCTCTCCTTGTAGGGCCTGCCCTGTTATCCCCAGATCATGCGAGTGGCCTGCCTCTGGACCCTCTCAATCCCTCCTAAAGTGTGCATGAACATCCCTCCTAAAGTGTGGTACCCTGAACTGGACACAGTATTCCAACTGTGGCCTGACCAGTGTCGCATAG